GAATATGGTAAAGTAGCTCCGGGGTGGGCTTCTTTGGAAAATCTATCTCGTGCCCTGTCCGCCATGATTGCACGCAGGAAGAACTCCCAACTCATATCTTTTTCGTTTTTTTCGTCTCCGAACATCAGGTTCGGCAAATCAGACCTTTCAGTTTCTTCTTTTTCGCCGTCATTTTTTTTTTTTTGAAATTTGTTAGAATTCATTGTTTTTTAGTTTCGTTTCGCCTGATCAGTTATCAGTTAAATCAAAAAAAGCGCTTTTTTGATACAAAAATGGAGACTCTTACAGTCTCAAAGTCTCAATACCCCCCTTATAATTTTTTTGTGAAATACATTTTTAATATACCTTAATTACGCAAATTATGTAAATCCGATTGATTTATTCAATCTGTAAATAGTTACTACAATTATGGAAATGTCGACAAAAATAATTAATTATGCAGTTTACAAAAACTGTTCTAAAATATTATGTTAATGACAATTTTTATTTATATATTATTTAATAAATGATATTATATTTTTGTGTTTTTAATTGCTCAAATCGTGGATACTTGAGGAAATAATTAGACAATAAAAATGTACATTTTTAAGATACCCTAACTACGCAGACTGTAAGTTCGGTTGATTTATTCAATTATAATTTCTTATAAAATTATTCTAAAACAATTGTGTTAATGACAATTTCTATTTAACTATTTTTTTAATAACTATTTTTGGGTCTTTTTTTTTATTTTTATATATAATAAACGTGAGTCTTGATTTTATTTTGTTCGCTGGGCAATTAATTTTGTGGTTAAACTTAATATCATTATTTTTTTTATATTTTATCGATAATTTATGAAATCGAGTTATTTGGTATACCATATATTGATCCAATATACCCGCTTATGGTAATAAAATGGCATCTCAAGTCAATTTCTTTTTTTTTTTTCATATTGCTAAGCATTTTACTCGATATTAATGAAAGAAAAATTTAGATAATACCATGATTGATTCTTCTTTGTAAATGTACGTGAAACATATCAAATTATTTGGTGTGTGTGTGTATACATATAAAGGTTTGTTTTTTACTTAAATCATATTGTAGTCAAATCAAATATTTTAATGAAAATTTCAAAATGACATATATTTTTTAAATGAATATAATGTAACTTATTATCAGTTACTTGCATCGTACTGGTCGTGTACTAATTTTAAATAAACATGTTTTATGTAATTTTGCCAATTTATTTTTCATATAATGTTTTCAACAAATTAATAAAGATAATTTGTATTACATATTGATTCCATATTTCTAATTTATAAATATTATTTAATGAGCATTTGTAATTTATAAATATTAATGAATATTTACTCGTGCATCACACAGGATTCGTACTAGTACATACATAAAATAACCATAATAAAAAATATATAAAATAAAGATCAAGTTAAATATATGTAATGAAAATAAAAATTATACAAGGTATCAAAATAAGTGAGTAGAATTTTCCTCCACCACCCTTCCCCCAAATTCCACCAGACACTCTCTCCAAATTCTGGTTGTTTTGCCTTCCTCGGCGACGGTGTAGTTTCCGCTAGGGGTCGTCCTTGACGCCTTGACCTCCCCTGACGTTTTGCGGCTCTGATGCTCTGTGGATGGACCGAAATTGGAGATCTGGCTCTCGGTTGCGGACAA